TTCAGTCGTGTCGACTAAGAAGGTGAAACTGTTTTTCTCGAAGAACTTGCAAGAACCCCGCTGATTTCAATTTATTTCAGATGCCTAAGAACTTTCGTGAAGGTATAATCGAAGTAGCAAAAATGTTTAAAAATCATGACTTCATATGGAAGGTTGATGAAGGCGACGTGATTCAAGGTGTTCCGAATTTACACACCTTTAGCTGGGTTGCTCAAGCAGCCCTTATAGGTAAGGATCTAGCATTTGATGAGATTGATATGGAACTGTGGGTGAGGCGACCTGCACAAGACTTTGACTGTTACATGACAGGACAACAACACGGCTGTTCGCTGTCATCTATCGTAACTGCCTAACGGGCCCTGCAGGCTGTAATTGCCATCCATGTGCCGCGCCGGAAAATTTTCGTTCATATCGCTTATTTTGATATACGTCCTTGATTAGTCTCGCTAAACAACAAATTACGAAAAATTCATTATCACTCTCACAGTAAATTTTCCTCATAAGTAGCAGAATAGCAGTCAACTCATCAATACGTAGTTCAGCGTCTATGATGGCTTTCTTTCGATGTAGTATTGCATGTGAGTCAAGGTGGTGAGCGACCTGGACGAGTTGTCCGGTGTAGGTGAAGGGCCGCAGAGGCGGGCGAGAGGTGGCAATAGTTCAGTGGCGCCCCAGTGACGGCATAACTGTTGACAGCTGCGATATTCAATATTTTTCCGACTAGCCACCCCCAGCAACAGTGAACGGTCTGGGTGGGGAGTTTTGATTCGCTTTCGCGACGGTAGGCGTTGCAAGTGGAGTAGCGTTCGCAGTGTCCATACCATGACCCAACCTACTCGACACGGCAGCGGCACAGCATTTCGAATCTATCTCCCAGGTCAATTCGTACTAGGGTGCTGCGACAGGGAAGTAATACTCCGCACCCAGTAGTCCGCAGCCTCATACAACATGTTACCCCAACTCTTTCTTTCTAGAGGAGCTAGAAGAGCTGAGCAGGAGAGCGCACAAGATAGGAACGTTAGCCTTTTCTTGCATTAGAACATCTTTTTCCAACTTATCAAACTAGATCTTCCGATTCTGAACTCTCGCAGCTATCAATGTCTTTCAGCCCACCCTAGTCTGCGATGTTTTGTTTCACATGCTGGCATCAACAGTATCTTGGAGTTGACAAGAATAGGAAAGCCGTCAATACTGGTTCCGCTTTTCGGCGACCAACTCAGGTCTGAAGTGTTACCTGAAAGTTGGCTTTGGAAAATAGACGCTACACTATCGCAATACAGTCTGGTGCTTGCTCCAATTGCTTTTAGAAATGCGTATCTCGTGGCAGCGAAAAACACGACCATTGTGATCGCGAAGGAGGAATTTAATCGTGATACTTTGGCCACTGCTCTTCAACGAGTGCTCAGCGATAAAGGGTAAGGAATTGCGAGTGAACTACGAGTTATTAGGTTGGTAAGAAGTAAAGCGGAATTTGAAGCGCCCAACTTCAAGCCAAAAATTAAAATTTCACCACATAAATCAGTTCAATGGAAGCCATAAGCACTTCACATCGCTTCAGCGCTGAATGGATTTCCTTTCCTTTTGTTTTCCAATCTGCTCTCTCAGCTTTCGCGTCCTCAATTAGGTGCAGCATTATAGCCCAAGTTTATTATCTGATCTACAGTCATTATCTTCATATATGAGAGGGCAAGTGAAGTGGCGTCGATTGGAGCACAGTTAGGTCAGCTTTTTCCACCATGTGTGGCGGGCGCCGTATGGTATTATCGGTGGGAAGCCACTCGGCTGCATTTCGTGGCTAATGCCGTTTAGACTCCAGAAATTTCGGCTCCGAGCTCATTTTCAAATTGCCTAAGCCACCAAATCCACTAAAAACTTGTATATAGGGGTAATTCAACATCCTGATTACGAGTATGACACTCATTCTTGGCGCTGGCGCCAAGAGAGGACACTACGATTACCTCCTGGGCTCAGCCTTAGCAGAGCGCAGGTAACCGTAGTGTCATCCATTAGCGCCAGCGCCAAAAATGAATGTCATATTCGTGATCAGGATGTTGAATTACCCCTATATACAAGTCTTGATCCCTCG